TTTTTGAAGGAAAATTTGGCAACTAACTTCTGAAACTCATACGCTGTTTTTCCCCAGCTATTTTCTCGATGAGAAAACTTACGAATATATATATATATTTTTTTAAAATTCGATTTTCAGATACTCTAGATAAAATTGTGAATGTACATAGTTTTACACGGAGAAAAAACTTCGTGCATGGGATCCGAAGTTGAGGTCATACATGGATCTCTGAAGTTTTTTGATCACAGACCCGAAAACTTGAGTTCGAGTTGCCGAAGTTCGAGTCAGGCATCTGAAGTACTTCGATATATACCGAAGGGTTCGGGTCACACATCTGAAGTAATTTGTACCTACCGAAGTGCCTCGATGTCTGACCCGAACTTCGGCAGCTTGAACTCAAGTTTTCGGATGCATGATCAGAAAACTTCAGAGATCCATGACCTCAACTTCGGGTCCCATGTACGAAGTTTTTTCTCCGTGTATGAAAAATTAGAAGAAAATATTCAACATTTCTCCTGAAAATGCGTATTTTTTTTGAGAAAATTTGGCAATTGACCACCAAAACTCATACGCTGTTCTTCCTTAGCCAGCAGTATTGCTTTTGAACCGGACGAAGCCCAGTAAACAAATAAAGTATAACGCTTGGTCAACGAAACTGGTTCAGTGAGAAAAACACTCGAAACGCGGCCGCGGCGCGGCGCGCGAGACAGGACAGGCGTGCGGAACAGGTCTAATCCGAGCTCTGTCGATGAACCCCTTCCGAGGCCGGAGACGGAGGCCGGTTTCGCAAGCGGCACGCACCCGACGTCGCGTCGCGCCGCAGCCAGCCGCCAACATCACCATCGAAAGTGAAAATGACGACCGATTCTGTGACAAACCATTGGAAATTATGTAACGCGTCGTCGTCGACTGTCGCGCCTCACGTGACCTTTGGAGGCGCACATCGAGCCGGGAATAAACAAATAAACACGGCTTATCTACTGCAACTGCGCAGAGCTTCCGAGGATTGTAAATCGAGATAGTGTAAAAAAACGAATAAACAATGCATTTGAATAATCTCGCGAGCTTATAAAGTCAGGAGAGGAGAGGGCGAGGAGAGAAATGGCATAGGGGACCGTTCATTAAATGAATCACTAAATACAAAAAGGGCACATGTCCAGAAAACCAAATTGTTCAGAAAACACAATAAACAGTTTTTTGTGTCTCCTGAACAATTTGGTTTTCTGGGCATTTTTGTATTTAGTGATTCAAATACGTAACGCTGAAATTCAGATTTTTTGACTCTGCGGCTCCCTCTTGTAACGCGCCGGTAACGCAGGTCTGCTCTGCACGTTCCTATAAAAAAATACGTAACGCTTTCCTTAAATTTTCAATTTGTAATGAATTTTCGATGAAAAAGTCACCTCACGTTGGTTTCTTACCGCAGATTTTCGAGAAATTGGCGCCACGCGCCCCTTCTAGCGTTACGTGACGCAACCCTCTACGCCACGTCACCCCTCTCTCCCTGTAACGCAGGCTCAAAATCAGACCTCTCCGAAAGCGTTACGCACTTAATGAACAGACAAAAAGCGGTGTTCGCATTTCGGCAAAAGGTCGATGACATAAGTCGGTGCAGACATTTTTATCATCGGTTTTCTCGAAAATGGTGTGGTTTGTGGATGAGTGTTTTGAAAAGTGTTTTAAAAACTAGACTGCGTGATGTATTACGCCGAAACAAGGAGGTTACGGTCCGATTTTTGCTACCTCGACTTTGTGCTCATGGATTAATGTTGTATTGTACCCACCCACATCATGGTGTAAACAGATCAGAGACTGACATCGCCCTCTTTCTTCTCCATGGAGTTCAACTAAAAATCTATATTTTTGACCCCAAACTGTTTATTTTTTTATTTTTTAAAAAATTTTTAAAAATTTATTTTTTATTTTATTTCTTTTTTTACAAAATAAGTGCCTTATTTCATCACAGGTACTTATGAAACACTAATTCATTCCCCCTTAACTTGCGATTGGTTGATACTTTTCCAAAATTGGACAGATATGTCTGGTCTTCATCACTTTAATCCCCTTTTCATCATGATCATTTGCGATGAACAATTATTTTCCACCGAACTCCACGAACGAGTGGAAAGTTCCTTCATAAAATCTCGACAGCCTTGATTTATGAGCGTGTCTCCACAATATATTCGATATTTGAAACGAGGCATGGGTTTCCGCCAACGACAGCTATATCAACCTACGAGGGCTTGCAGAGCGTTCCGGCGTGATCGCTCCGACAAAGTGAACGATTATGTAAAACCCTCGGAATTATTCCAGACGAATCCGCGAGAATGGACCATTTTTCCATTTTTCCATTCGTCCGGTGACGATGTCAAGTTCAATCGAGGAGCCTCTATCTCAAGGCCGCCCGAGGTCAAATGAATCAATTTCCACGGAATCTGAGTAACTCGTGAAAAAAAGACCTTTAACAGGGTTGCAACATCAAGGGAAAAGTGGGAAATCCAAAAAATGCATAGAGTACATAGAGTCGTAATGTAAGTGGGAGAGCTGGCGTCATGTTCTGCTCGACGAGTTTCGAGCCCGGTGTGCGGGGTCTTTTTTTCAATACATATTCGATCCAAAATGGCGGTGTGGAATATGGCCGTTTCCCCGTGTATTGCAAACAATCGATTATGTGTCGAAAAAGGGAACCGGCGCCGCACAGGAATCTCGGAATTCGGGACCTGGAAAATGCTTATGAGTGGCGCCAGCTCTCTTACTTGCATTACGACTCTATGTACTCTATGAAAAAATGGCACGGAATTTGGAGGAGTTGGGGAAACGAAAATGTCAGAGAAAATGACGAAAATGTTGAGGAAATTTTGTTAGATCATCTTCGTTTGCTTTTTAGAATGTGCATCATGTTTTGAACAATACTCACTCAAGCGGACTGTTTTAAATTTTGGAGTTTCAACAATTTTGCATATCCTTAAAAGTCGGAGAATTTTACAAAAATTTGTCAGGGAATATCATTTTCTGAAATGTGTGGCAACCTTGATTGAGCGATCAGTATTCAATATGTACACACGTCACGACAATTTTATTTGCAAATCTTGTCAGATCACTCCGTAAAGAACTGTGGTTTTGACGGAGGCAATTATAAGTGCATGTGTTCGGTGTTTCATTCAAAAAAAAAAAAAAAACCCGGTAAGCGACGCGTTACTAACATTTATTCACGGAACAACCAATATCTTACACAGTACGATACTTATGTTAAATTCTCAAAGATTGAAACAGCATAATTCTAGAATGTGTGAATCCTATAAAAAAGCTTTTAAAGTTATATACTTAGGACCAGAAATTGATAAAAGTTTTTGCTGAACTCGCTGAGTATATGAGGAAAATAGCTGCGATACGCTGAGAGAGATATGGTTGCATTTCTTGTGCGCGATGAGTCATGATTAGTCGTCGATCGTTTCAAAATCATTTGATTTAAGCCTTCTATTTTCCGTAATAAATTTTTAAAACCTCGTAAAGTATTGTAACCCATGGTTCCATGTAACCATGGTTCCATGTAAACCATGTACCCACATTTTGTGTATAATATTTCTCATAGAGCACGCTGAAGTATTGCCAGCAGCAAGTTAAAAACAAAAAGATGCTCACTGGAAAAAACCCCCATTGGATCTAGAGTCCAGACTCTTGAAAACATTGACAAGAAAAAATACTCTTGATTCAATTGGATTTTTGCTCGAATCAAAATGAAATCCGCTTAAATTAAGAGGCTTGGTTCTTGATTTAAGCCAGATTCTGATTGAATCAAGAGTACTTTTTCTTGTCGATGTTTTTAAGGGTTTGGACTCCAAATCCAATGGGTTTTTTTTCCAGTGCTGTGAGGACTTAACAGCATTTATAATCGAAACTAAAACATAGTTGTGGCACTCCCTGAAACGGTTTCTGACAACAAGTATAAGAGTCGCTGAAGGCACACCTTAAGAAGTCCTAATTATAAGGTGGCCAGTAAAAACTGCTCAACAAATAATGTCTCCTTTTCTCTATTGCGTGCGTGTTTGGTCCCGCGTCCAGATCATCGCGTAAACACATAACTCGTTATGCTAAGCTCGCTATCACTTTCACCTACATACTCGATGCACTATAGACAGCGTCTCGCTACGCATTATATCAGGGTGCATTGCATGAAACTTGAGGCATCTCGCCTAGTCATGTTCATACAATGCATTCTACGGTATTATTTTTTTCATCACAAAAACTGCGGAGCTCATGAGACTCAAAATGATACTTTTTTTATCTACAGTTTTTAGGGATTATATCATGAGTCAAATTTTACAATTTAAAGACAACTGTAAACCCGGATATCGCGGAGTTCGATTGGGGTAGTGCAATATGTTACCTTCCACCCTTATGATGCAAAAAAGCTAGCTAAATGTATGGCTCTCCACTCTCCAGGTATCCACTCTTTACAATGGATCAATGGAAAAAAAAACAAAAAAAAACACACATTTGATCTGGAGTCCAGACTCTTGAAAATATTGACAAGAAAAAATACTCTTGATTCAATCTGATTTTTGCTTGAATCAAAACGAAATTTGCTTAAATTATGAGGCTTGGTTCTTGATATAAGCTAGATTCTGATTGAATCAAGATTACTTTTTCTTGTCGAAGTTTTTAAGAGTCTGGACTCTAGATCCAATGTGTTTTTTTTCCAGTGACGAACCAAAGTTTTCACTTTCTCGCTCCCCTCGCGAGTAGTGGAAATATTGTCATCATCCACGAAAAAAAGTTGGAATTCCATCGTTTCTGGGCGTTTTAAAGTGCCTGGATTCAAAAAAACCATACTTGAAAAAATATGTGTCCGTCCGTCCGGCGTCCCCCAAATCTGTGTACATGCAGCCATATCTCAAAATCAATTTGTTCACTTTCATTCAAAATTTCCATGGAAGATGTCCCCTTATTTATCCATATAGATGGCACTGCGAGTCCCAGCCTGAAATAGAAAGAGATAAAGGCTGAAAAAAGCTTACTCTTTCGCCTAGGTAGCCGATGATCTTCTTGATCATGTTCTCCGGGGGGAGATGCCGGCACTGGGACTGAGCCTGCACCGCGGTCTGGGCCTGAGCGGCCGTTCTCACGTAGTTGAGCGCCATCCTTCAGAACTTTAAAAAATTCGGGAACGCGAAAATCGAAAAAGTCGGAAAACTCGGAGGTGGGTTATACCGGGAGCGTCACGCAACAACTGGACCGACGATGGTCGAAATGTTATGTTTACTGATTGCGGATTGCGGCGTGCTCGAGAGCGAACGCCCGCTGCGGGGCCCCCCACTCCGCGGGGCCGCCCCCCTCCAGAGGCCAATGTTTACAACTCCACTGCTGCACTCCTCGATATCTGTTGTTTTGCTCTCCGAACTTGATTGAGCTTTAGAGTCATCGAGCGGAGTTGTCATGTGGGTTCCCGATCACGAAACTTCTTCGTGGATCCGCCTCTGGGTCCTGGATGATCCCTTTTCAGCTTTAGGGTATCTCTCAAACTAAAAAGCGAAATTGATCAAATTCATCGAAATTTCGTGAAATGAATTGAATATTTCAGTTCGAAAACGACCCACCTCGTCAATTAAAATTTTTCAGAAGACGATAAAAACTGCGTAAAAGCTAGAAAAAGCGTGTTTCTACGCAAAAAAAAAAAATAAAAAAAAAAAAATAAAAAAAATAAAAAATGAACATCGTAAAAAAACCGAGTAGGGTCGTTTTCGAACTGTGAGATTCAATTAGTATCTATCTGTACGCACCAGAGTCGATATTATACCTACGGACCTTCTAGAGTCTAGTCTCAGTGCCTCATTTATGATTTTTTTTTCACCTGGAGCGAGATCGCTAATGGTTTGAGGGATACCCTAAAGCTGAAAAAGGATCCAGGATCCGGAGGAAGATCCACAAAAAAGTTTAAAATTTAGAGTCGCTCCGATGGCCAAATTGCGAAACCATGTATCTCTGTTTGCAACGTTGCAGACTTCCAGTCATCCTTTCATTTTTCGTCGAAGCTAGTCAACGTAATTTCTTTGAACCTCTCTCGGCTTTTCTTTTTTGGTAACAGAATTTTCTGTTCGAATTCAAAACTATAAAGTTGGCTTGTTCTTCTTAGAAAAAATAAAATAGAAACGGACTTTACGGACGTGTTGAGCCATCGCAATAGAGATCAGTGATTTTGCACTGTGACCATCGATATGACATTTTAAATACCTATGACAAATATTAGAGAAAAATTCAAAAATGCTTCCTTGTCTTCGAACAGCGGTGATCCTTTCTACGTTCTTACGTTCTAATTACCGCATTTGGTAAATTTTATTTTAATGATCCCTTTAAAGTTTCAGAAGTAATATCTATTGAGTTTGCTACCAACGATTAAACCAACTAGTTCAATCATTGGAATAAATTTATCTAAGATATCAATAAACCCAAAGTAAAAGCTACTGGCTTAACTTTGTAAATTCGTCATTTACGCAAGTGAATACTTTCAACATCGCAAATTTGTTCATTATTTCATGTATTAAATCTACCGATGGGCTCACAACATGTTTTTCAGTTCAATCGAAGCTTGTGGAAGTTGTGGAGCAAGATTAATTTGTGTTTTTCGAAGAGATAACTATTCGTGCTCTGCGGTACGTTTGTTGCCTATGTGGCAAAATTGAAGGCGAACTTAAGTGGCCGCTGTCTATCAACAGATGTACGTACGCACGCGGTTAAAAACCTAATTTCACCGATACCGAATCGTCATTCAAGAACTGACACGCTATAGAATAATCACTAAATGGAAAATTTCGGTGCGATGCGGCAATATTCGCTGCGTACTGCGTGCGTTGACTCCAATTTCTGCGGGTGTCGTTATTGCATCGTTAATTGTGTGTTATTCATTTAGCGGCTGAAAATTTGGGCAGTAATTATCACATCAGGAAGTGGGCCGGGATGGGGGTCTCTTCAAATTAAGACCTGATGACATCAGACTGGTTTGTATTGTTTATGGATATGACAAGAGCACTGACAGCGATGCATTGCATATCGATGGTGAAACTACTAGACCACGTATCTCATTTGCGATGTTTAAAAATCTCCGCTTTCATTTTATTTTTTAGAGGCGCACAAATCAACATCATTCCTTGAAATTTTCATAGAGTCTCCTAAGCACAGAGAGGAAAAATCACGGAAGTTCTCAAGAATTTACGTTAAGTAGTTTTGCATTAAGAAAATGAAGTATGACAAGAAGTCTGCCACGTTGCAAACCGAGATTCGCGGTCTGGTGGTTTTACCATCGATATACGTGGATCGCCTTTAAACCGGGGCTCTCACATCATTTTGGTACAGAATAGTTTTTGTAAGGAAGCTTTAATTCCATGGTCTCAAAATTTTTCTGGCGAGTCACATACAGCCACAAAAAACTATAGGAGGAAGGTGCTCTTCCGCTTCTTTGTAATTATTCCCCCATGATTTTCCTCCTCCCTCGCAAAGTTAGAAAAACAGCATATTGTGCTTCAGTCAATCAGAAGTCTGGATTTTAAAGCTTTTTTTTTTTTTTGCACTTTTCTCAGTTTTCGGCCGTTTATGCAGAAATTTTGTCTCCCCGGTTTTGATTTTTTCCTTTTCAATTTTTCCTCCTAATTATTGAAAAAAATCAGACTTGTGCCAGGCGAAATATCCGTGGAAAAAAAGAAGAAAAAGAGAGAAACAATTTCGTGAAATTCAAGCGGTTTGATTTGGGTATATACCTATCTATCCACTTCGATTTGGGTATCAACTTAACATTTTGACTCTGCTTCGGCCCTCACATCAAATCGACGACCTTCTCAAACCTGGTGGTTCCGGGTCCCACTCAAAATGACGCGGCTTTCTCGGTCTCGAGACATTTTTCCATTACGTTTACGTTCACATTCTTTGTTTTTGACTCAACATTCAGCATTGAAGAAGAGCTCACAAAAAGACGGTAAGGCCAACTTTCATCGTTTTGACCTGATTATGATGAGTGTTTTCCCTCGCATCCGAATTTCACCACAGTCAATGTAGCACCAATAATCCTTTAAACCGGGCGCTCATTCCATCGATCGAGGCCAGTGGCGTGGCGTGAATTGCGATACATCGATTGTTATGCCATTTAAATCTATGGAAAAGGATCGATAAACAGGGTGTTCGCAGCGAACACCTTAATAATCGATTCTTTACCATAGGTTTAAATGGCATAAAATCGATACATCGCAATTCACGCCACGCCACTGATCGAGGCGAGGGGGCTACTTGACGAAGAGATCAAAAGCAGTGTTGCTCTTACGGTGACAAATTTGAGCTTTCACACTGATCTCGTGAGGATGATTCGAAAATGTCTTCTTTGACAACGCCGACGAAAACAGCCAATAACACCTACTATTGAACGATAAGCAAAAGCAGTTAATTCATATTTTCGAGCTCGAGGTCGTAAAAATTTCACAACGGCTTCAAAACAAACACCCGGGCTTATCGCATCAACTTTCGAGTGTGTGTTTATTTTTTGGTCGGAAAAGTTGCAAGTGCTTTTGATCTTCGATATGCGTCCTCCACGTGTGGCTCTTGAGAGGATTTATGGGGTGTCATTTTTTATGTTTTTACGTTGAGGGGAGAAAATGGTTAGCTCAGGGGCGACAAAAATTTCTTACACTCCGAATTGGGTAAAATGATTATTTCGAGAGAGATACTTGACAAAGATACTTGACGCATTTAAAAACACAAATTTACGAACCACCTATGTGCAGAAAATAGGGGTGCCCCCGTTTTTCATCCTTGTAGTGATTACAAAGCTTGTTCTATGAAAATGAAAAGAAATAATAAAAAACTAGAAGATCTACATTTTTTATTCCTAACAGGCTATTTCTGAGAAAAATACTGTTTTTTATTACTAATAAAAAAATTTTGTTTTCATTACTTTTACACGGTTATTATAAGGAATACGTTACCACAGACAGCCAGCTGTTGCAAATTCCCTCCACCAAACAAACCTCCGAAAAAAAAGATCTCTTTAATTTGGGAAAATTTCAATCTGTTTGAAAGACTGGCAAAGTATTTAGCACAGAGGAAATGTACAAATAATACCCTTTTTGTGTGTGTAAGTTTGAAAGGAAAAAATAAATATAATGAGATTCGGAGGATCGAAATTTGAGACTAAGGGGCTTCCTTACATTGCTTACAGTAGATTTATATATAGGCGGCAAGGGCAAGAGGAAAGCTGTGATTGCCCTTGAAGAAAAATTCGGTTTCATTAGTCATTTGAACTTTGAAGGTCACCTCTTGATGGACGCGCGCGTCATTAGGTATATTTTCTCTCGTGTCAACGCTTTATTCAAAGCTGTGTGCCTTAAATTGCATTGAGTGCATCCATCTTATCTGCATTATAATATTTAAAAAGGAAATTAGGTACCATTAAAATTGTTAGGCCGTCTCCGCCGTCTGTTGGACAGATTGACGTTTCGTTAGTCCTCGTTGACGTCAGAATGAACAGGAAAGTCTAATTAGAAAATCAGAGGCTCATATTCACTTTGACAGGCATCTTGAGGTTGACATCACTGAAGTTTCATCGTTTTTCAGACAAGGAGACATACATCTACTTCAAGATTGTGAAATAAATCCAAACGATTCAATGTTTACAGAAAATATAATTTCGCAATTCCTGTCCTAAATGTTGCTGCTTTTCGTGTTAATAGAAAAAAAAATCGGTGGAATTTTGGCAAGATTTGTAGATCTTGTAGATACCTACACCGCATGATTCAAATTTTGGAATTTATAACTATTGCTGTTGGGAGGTTGCTTTCTGGCCTATCTCGAAAAAAGAAGGAGTAAATAGGAGAAAATATGGCTTTCATACCCCTTTATTAGTTTCACCTAGTTTCACACATTTGCACCGGTTGCGTAAACGGTGCAAATGTGTGTCTCCCCGACTGATAAAAACAAGGTGGACGAAATCAGGGGTGCCAATACCGCGGTGGATGACGTCATAAAACGATTTTTTTCAAAGCACGATATCTCGGTTGATATTCAAGGTAGAAAGTTGCTGTTTGGACAGATCTTATTATTTTTAGCTAATATACAGGAATCAAACATCTATAACCACGATTTTTTGACCAGCGCAACTGACCGTTTGACCGTATGCGTGTGGTGAAAACTTTTCTCAGTGTTCATTGAAATATTCAATTGTTGTAAAAGACAAAATGTCTTCCCGTCGAAAGAGGAAATAAAGAAAAATAAAATAAATCGGCAATAACAGTGG